TGAAGCAGGGTCTCCCTGTAGCCCCAGCTGTCCTGGAACTCATTATGTAGACCAGGCTGGCCTTGAACTCACACAGAGATCCACCTGCCTCTGCCTCCCAAGTGCTGGGATTAAAGGCATGCGCCACCACACCCGGTGCAATTCATATCTTTAAAATATTTTATTATTTATATTTTATGTGTATAAGTATTTTGCCTGTATGTATGTAAGTGTGCCACATCTGTGCAATGCCTAAAGAGGCTGGAAGAAGTGTCAGATCCCCCAGAACTGAAGTTACCGGTGGTTGGTAGCCCTCATGTGGGTGCCGGAAATCAAACCTGGGTCTTCTGGAAGAACAGCAAGTGTTCTTAACTTCTGAACCAGCCCCTCAATTCATATCTTAATTTATACGGTTTCTTCATAACCCTTCTGCCAGAAAATTCTTAACAAACACATTTTAAGTCTGTTTTCTGTTGCTTTAACAAAATACCCCAAACTTAGAGCGTAAAACTAAGAGAGAGATTTGTCTGGTCAGAGGTTCTGGAGGCAGAGGAAATCCAAAGTTTGACACCAGCGTTCAACAAGAGTCTTCCGCCCTGCCCTGCCATGGAAGATAATCAAGGGCAGATCACAGCAAGAGCACTAAAGAGAGCTGAGCTTGCTTCTTTTTAAACCAAAGCACTCTTGCCATAACCCACTGCAGAGATGATGCCCTAGACCCCTCAGTGAGGGGCTGGGGAGGGGCTGGGAGAGCACCCACCCAGAATCCCCCAGGGAGATTTTGAGGGCAGAGTTTTGGGAGGGCTCCTCCTGGTAGATTGATTACCTGCCCAGGGTTTGCAGGATCTTAGAGTCCATCCTCCGCATTGTTTAAAAAAGTTGCATTTTTTAAGTCAGTGGAAAACATTTCTATCCATGGTGCATATAGTCTCCAGTCCAAACTTTAAATTATCAAGCAGATTGATGTAACTGGTTCAGAGCCCTGGTGTGTGTTGGTTGGTCCTAGACCCTGCCGATTAAATTCTGCCCTTCAGCCCTATCCAAGGCTGATGACACAGCCAGCCAGAAAGATCTGTGTGTCTCTGTTCTAACATCCAATTTTAGATTAATTATCATTGTGAGTGAGGGTGTATGGGGGGGTGGTCCATGCCAAACGTGTAACACACCACTCCCGTGTGTCCACACGGTAGATAGATTATTTGCCAGTGAACAGAGCTGTCCTCTGCTGTCATCCCCTACAAAGACCAAACCATAGGAGAGTGTTGTTGTTGTTATTGTTTTACCGAAAGTGTAAATTCTGTGCCGTTTCCACACTGAACGGTCACAGTGGGGACCAATTTCCTGTACTCAGCCCGGCGCTCCAACCAATGCTGCAAGGGAAAGCGCAGCTTTATTTTCTAGAAGGATCCCACCCGAGACATCAAAAACGGCACAGCCCAGTCTGGGCTCAGCACAGGGCTGCCATCATGGGAACCACTCATTCCAAGGGTGGTGACAGGCCCGGGGCACTCCGTGGCCACCCCGAGCTGTCCTTCTGTGGCTCTGGCTCTCTCCCCAGGAAATGGAACGAGAGCATCTTCTTGGATAATGAGCTATTGACATCCAAGATACTGTCGGTGCTGAGGCCGCAGGCAGAGCGCGGCTTCAGGACCGGCGAGCTCCGCTGCCCTGCCCACTTTCTCAGCACCAACTCTGTGTTTGCCTCTGTTGCAGCGTCGCTGAAGGAGCACCCTCGTAGCGCACTCCTGTCCGATGGCAGCAGCCCAGCGCCGTCCAGGAATGTCGGCATGACCGTCTCTCAGAAAGGGGGTCCCCAGCCAACACCAAGCCCGACCGGATCTGGGGTGCGACTCGGGTAAGCTGAGGGTTTCCATCTTCTGCCAGCAGGTGCACACAAGGGCTGGAGCAATGGGGGAAACTCCTTACTTAGGGTCTATGCCTTTAAAAAATTGGTAGGGACGTGGATAAGAAACCTCAACCCTATCTGAGCAACTATTGACAACTAATAGCTGCTGGGATAGGGAGAATCAGTCTTTTTTAAAGGTGGGAGTAGGTTTTCTCCGGCGGTTTTCTTTTTTTTTTTTTTTTTTTTGGTCTTTTTGAGATAGGGTCTCCCGGTAGCCCCAGCTGCCCTGGAACTCACTGTGTAGACCAGGCTGGCCTCGAACTCACAGAGATCCATCTGCCTCTGCCTCCCGAGTGCTGGGACTAAAGGCGTGCACCACCCCTCTCCCCCAGAGGAGAAGGTTTTGAAGGTAGGAGTGCTGGGTAGGTTGATCAAGCTCCAGTGAATGGACCCACACTGAAGGGCATTTGGGAACACAAACTTAACTCAATTAGCCTTTAAAATAAATAAATAAGTATATATAAATCAAGTGTGGGGTAGTAAAGAGGGTACAGATAGGGGAGGGGATCTAAATATGATCAAAATATATTGCATGAAATTTGCAAAAATTCAATTAAAAACTTTAAAATTATTTATTATTATTATTACTATTAGAGACAGACTCTTTTGTAACCTAGTCTAACCTCAAACTCACTGTGTAGCCAAGGGTAATCTTGAACTTTAAAAAAATTTTTAGTTGTACTTGTGTGTGTGTGTATGAGTGTGTGTGTGTGTATATGAGAGAGAGAGAGAGAGAGAGAGAGAGAGAGAGAGAGAGAAGAGAGAGTGTTCATGCCACAGAATGTGTATGAAGGTCAGAGGACAACTTAACTTGCAGGAATTGATTCTCTCATTGCACCTTGTAGGCCCTAGAGATCAAATTCAGGTCATCAGCCTTGGCAGCAAGCATCTCTACCCTCTGAGCCATCTCACCCACCCCATCAATCCTTTTTCTTTTTGCAAAACCAATGCCCCCCTGAGATTCTGTTCAGCCAGTAGAAGAAGCAGTTTGCTTAACATGCTGGGATTACCAACACACACACACACACACACACACACACATACACACATACACCCTCCCCTCCCCCAACAAGGCTCCTTTCTGTCCCCAAGACATGCTAACAGTCTTGCAGTGTGATGTCTTGAGCTGACAAGCTGCTGAGATGGTCTGATCAATATGGAACCAGGAGTGTTAGATTAAAACTACCGTGTAATGTAATTGCAGTGTTGATTGCATGAGTTGTCATTAGGGGAGAGAAGCTTATTTTCTTTTCCATCTGTGAAAAGTCTCTTCCCAGTCATCACTGTGTCCCTTGTAAGTCATTAGGAAGAGCTCTAGTGATCTGTATTGGAAACCCAGACCTTCCTGTCTGCAGACATGGAAGATGTGTCTGTGTCATATCAATAGCTGCCTAGCTTTTTATTTTACTGGATTGATTTATTTTGCAGCACCTGCAGTGGAACCCAGGGCCTTGCACCTGCTAGCTAGGCAAGTGATCTGCCACCAAGCCATACCCCAGGGAATATTTTTCAATTTCCAGGGAATTCTGAGCAGGTAGCAGTCTCTGTAAATTCCCTCCTCAGGCCTACCCTTCAGTGCACACACATACAGAGCTGCCTCTATTGTTACATAGTACAGCACATTTATTACCATTAAAGAGCCATCAGTTGATACCGTTATTAATAGAACCCAAGTCCATACTTAGGTCAGAGCTCACAGGTTTTCCCCTAATGCCATTTTTCTGTGTGAAGATTCACTAGATTCCTAAGTGATGTTTCTCCTCTTCCTCCTCCTCCTCCTTCATCTCCTCCATCTCATCCTCCTCTTCCTCCTCCTCTTCCTCAATCTCCTCCTCCTCTTCCTCCTCCTCTCTCCTCCTCCTCCTCCTCCTCCTCCCCCTCCTCCTCCTCCTCCTTCTCCTCCTCCTCCATCTCCTCCTCCTCCTCCATCTCCTCCTCCTCCTCCATCTCTTCCTCCTCCTCCATCTCTTCCTCCTCCTTTCTCCTCTTCCTCCTCTTTCTCTTCCTCCTCCTCTTCTCTTTCTCCTTTCTTTTTTTAAGTTTTTTTTTATCTTTTTATTTCACATGTATGAGTGTATTGCCTGCGTGTAAGCAAGTCTTGCACCCATTCCTGCAATGCCAAAGGTCCGAAGAGGGCGTCAGATCCTGTGGAACTGGAGTTACAGATGGTTGTTAGCCGCCATGTGGGTGCTGAGAACTGAAACCGTGTCCTCTGCAAGAGCAGCCAGTGCTCTTAACTGCCAAGCCAGCCCTCAGTCTCCCTCTCATCTTTTCTCTTTCTTCCTCCTCCCCACTTCTCTTCCTCTTCCTCTTATCTCACTCTTTCTTTCCCTTCCTCCCTCTGTCTCTGTCTCTGCCTCTCTGTCTCTCTCTCTCTTGCTTGCTTGCTCGCTCACTCTCTCGCTCACTGGGGATGGGACACAGGGCCTTGAACATACTAGGCCAGCACTCTACACTGTGCTAAATCCCTAGCCCAGTAGTCTCTTAATCTTTAAAAATGACCTGTGACAAAGGTACAGGCTTCTATTGGAATCTGGAAGGTTCTCCAGTCATATCTAAACAGAAGTAACAATCCAATTTGCTTTTCATATACTGTGTGTGTATGTGATCAAACCAGTATTTTTGTTGGGTTTTTGTTGTTTTTTAAGTTTTTTCTTTATATTTATTTATTTTGTGTATAACTGTGACTGTGTGTGTATGTGCATTGCACCATGTGCGTGTGGAGGTCAGAGAACAACTTCGTGGAGTCAGTTCTCTCCTTGCACTACGTAGGTCTTGGGAACTTAACTCATGTGGATAGGCTTGTTGGCAAGTGCCTTTACTCACTGAGCCATCACCGGCCCCAATTTTCCATTTGTCAAATAATCATTTCAATCATTTCCATTCAAGACCAGTCACTGGAGACATGGATGAAGCTGACTCCGTGTTTTTAAAATTGAAGCAGGCAGCTGACGACTCTTTGTCACTTGCGTCCTCGAATGCTGAGTCTGTTTTCATAGAAGGTACGGTTAGGCCTCTCTGGTCTCCTAAGGATGCCACGTGGTCCCCCATCCCTACCGGGAAAGGCCAGAGTTGGCTTTAGTGTGTCCAACAAGCACCAGGCTCCTACCAACATCCCTGTACCTTTCCCCAGATCCCTATATTGCCTCCCTGAGGTGTGAAATTGAATCAGATGCCCACGAATTCGAGGCGGAGTCCTGGAGCCTCACAGTGGACTCGGCATATGCCAAGAAACAAAAAAAGGAGGTTGTAAAAAGACAAGACGTCCTGTATGGTAAGATGTCTAACACTGTGCCACCACTCCAGCCCTCCCCTGACTGCTATTCCCATTCTTTTAAAAATATTTTTAATTATATATATATATTTTTTTTTTATTTATTTTTTTAGTTTATTTATTTATTTTGGTCTTTTGAGACAGGGTCTCCCTGTAGCTGCAGCTGGCCTGGAACTCACTATGTAGACCAGGCTGGCCTCGAACTCTCAGAGATCCACTTTCCTCTGCCTCTCAAGTGCTGGGATCAAAGGTGTACGCCACCACGCCCAGCACATTTATTTATTGGACAACTTGCAAGTCTTTTCTCTTCTTCCACCATGTGGGACCCAGGCAGGGCTAGAACTCAGGGCTTCAGGTTTAGCAGCAAGCACCTTTAGCAACTGAGCCATCTCACTAATCCTGTTTTGTCTTTTTGAGATAAGAATCTTATGTCCCAGGCTGGCCTCAAACTTCCTATGTAATGGGATAACTTAAACTTCTGATCCTCCTGCCTCCACCTCCCAAGTGCTGGGATGACAGGTATGCACACCATGCCCAGTTTATGTGGTGCTGGGGATGGAACCCAGGGCTTCGTGCAGGCTAAGCAGTCTCCCTCCTTCCCCTTCCCCTCCTCCTTCCTATCTCCCTCTCTTATTGATTGCAACTGAGAGTCTGGGCTCCATGGCCAACCCTCTCCTGAGGCCCCATCACCTGCCCCACCTACCTCTCCCTTGGGACAGCCCTACCTCTGCGCCAGAGAGGAGACTGTCAGGGATGGCCTTGTTGGCACAGGTCTCTGTAGACCAGCCTGGCTGAGTGCTAAGGGCTGACTCAGACTCACTCTTAGTTGGTGACTGTCTCAGTCTGTTTGGGCAGAGAATGTCATCAACAGGGTGGTTGGTTAATGGAAGTTGATAGATCACTAAGTTCCAGAGATTGGGAAGTCCAAGGTTGCAGAATGCAGGTTCAGTGTTTAAAGAAGCCGTGCCTCCTAGTCTATAGGCCTTGTCTTCCTGCTATGTCTTCAAATTGTGTGTGGGGCCTCTTCAAAATGGGGGTGGGGGGGTTCTGTTTGGTTGGTTGATTTGGGGGTTTTTGTTTGTTTTTTTTTTTGTTTGGGGAGTTGGTTTTTTTAATATTTTATATGTATGAGTATTCCCTGCATGCATGTACGTGCACCCATGTTGTGCAGTGTCTGGAGATAAGAGGGCATCGGATCTCCTGGAGCTGGAGTGACGGGTGGTTGTTAGCTGCCATGTGGGTGCTGGGAGTCGAACCTGGGTCCTCTGCAAGAGCAGCTAATGCTTTTAACTGAGCCATCACTCCAACTCCTGTTTTTTGTTTTGGGTGTTTTTGTTTTTGTTTTTTGACACAGCCTCAATATGTAACCATAACAGACCTGGAACTCACTATGTAGACCAACCTGGCCTTGAATTCACCACCTGCCTCTGCATCCCAAATGCTGGGTATTTGTGTTTTTAATTTCAAATTCCAGGCACAAAGATGTTGTGGATCCCCTGGAGCTGGAGTTATGGGCCATTATGAGCTGCTAATACAGGTGCTGGGAACTGAACTTGGGTCGGGTCATCTGGAAGTACAAGCACTCTCAACCCACAAGCCTTATCTCCAGCCTCCACGGTTTATTTTATTTATTTATTTTTAATTGAGATAGGGTCTCCCTGTAGCCCTAGCTGGCCTGGAACTCAGTATGTAGACCAGGCTGGCCTCAATCTCAAAGAGATCCACCTGCCTCTTCCTCCCAAGGGCTGGGATTAAAGGCATGGGCCACTATGCAAAGCCCACAAAAGAATTTTTTTTTTAATGGAGACCAATTAAGGAAGATACCCAATGTTAACCTCTGGCCTCCATATGGAGGCACACATGTGCATGTAGACGTATACCACATACATCCCAAAGGAAGGGAGGGGGTAGGAAGGGAGAGGGGATGGAGGGAGAGAGGGAAAGAAAAAGCCAGAAAGGATGGAGGGGAAGGAGGGAGGGAGAAAGGAAGGAAAAAGAGGGAAGAGGAAGAAAAGTAAAGCAAGCCACAAGGGCAGGGCTTCAGCTCACAGGCCCACCCTCCTGTGAGTGCTTTGCCATGGAGGTGCAGCACCTTGCCACATCATCCCACTCACATGTCCCCACAGAGCTGATGCAGACGGAGGCACACCATGTACGCACGCTCAAGATCATGCTGAAAGTGTACTCCAGGGCCCTGCAGGAGGAGCTGCAGCTGAATACCAAGGCAGTCAGCCGCCTCTTCCCCTGTGCAGATGACCTCCTGGACTTACACAGCCACTTCTTGGCCCGGCTCAAGGAGCGCCGCCAGGAGGCCCTGGAGGAAGGCAGTGAACAGAATTACATCATCCAGAAAATCGGCGACCTCCTAGTCCAGCAGGTGGGTGCTGCCATGCCCAGGGTGGACCACACCAGCTTCTAACCCCAGCTCCATTCATTCTGATGATAAGATGCTCATGGGCTCTGGTTTATCATGTATTCATCATCCCTGAAAATACACAGTTGCTGGGTCCTTTCACAGCCTGCTAGTGTCCTAGGAACAGCAGCTGAAATAGCCATGGGATGTGTCCAAACACTGCTCAGAGTTGTGTTCTGGGCTAGGAATGTGGCTTAGTTGGTAGAGTGCTTGCCTAGCATGCATGAAGCCCTGGGTTCCATCCCCAGCATTGCCTAAAAATTAGGCATGGTGGCACATGGCAGTGATCCCAGCACTCAGGAGGATCGGGAAAGAATTCAAAGGCCTCTTCAACTACATAGCAAGTTTACAGCCAACTTGTACTAGAAATCCAGTCTCAAAAAAGAAAAACAGAATTTGGGTGTCTTTGGTGAAGATGTCAGAGGGAGATTCAGGCAAAATCTCATGTAGCCCAGGCTACCCTTGAACTCCTGATCCTCCTGTCTCTCCTTCCTGAGTGCTGGGATTACAAGCACATGCCACTATGCCCAGTTTATGCAGTGCTGGGAACGAAGGCTAGGGTTTTAAGCATGCTAGGCAGGTACTCTACCAACTGAGCTACATCCCTAGCCCTCAACTGCTATCTGTGGGAGAATTTTGGTATGGGGTGGTATGTGCATGTGGGTATAGGTGCCTCTGGATGCCAGAGGTCAGTGTTGTGTGTGTCCTCCTCTATCATGCTACATCTTTTCATTTCTTTTTTTGTATATCTAGACAGGATCTCCGTCTATGTAGCCCCAGCTGGCCTGGAACTCACTGTGTAGACCAGACTGGCCTCAATCTTACGGAGATCTGCCTACCTCAGCCTCCTGAGTGCTAGGCCAAAGACTTGTGCTACCTGGCTTTTTAAAAAAAGAAAACATTTATTGGGCTGGAGAGCTGACTCAGTGCTTAAGAGCACTGGCAGCTCTTAACAGAGGACATGGGTTCGGTCCCCAGCACCCACATGGCAGCCAGTAACCATCCATAACTCCAGTTCCAAGGGATCTGACACCCTTGTCTGGCCTCCAAGGGCACTGCACACACATGGTGAACTTACATATATTCAGGCAAAGCACTCATACAAATTTTTTAAAAATTAAGCTTTTTAAGAAAAAGAAAAGATTTGGGGCTGGAGAGATGGCTCAGCAGTTAAGAACATTGGCTGTTCTTTCAGAAAACCTAGTTTTGAATCCCAGCATCCACGTGGCAACTAACAACCATCCCTAACTCCAGTTCCAGAGGATCTGATGCCTTCTTCTGTCCTTTGTGGGCACTGCACAACATGGTGCACTTATACACATATAGGCATAACACTCACGCACATAAAATAAAAATAAATCAAAAAAGGAAGCATTTATTGTTTGGGTGGGTGGATGGGTGGGCACATATGTGCCATGGTATAATTGATGAGGTCAGAGAACAACTTTTGGGACTTGGTTCTCTCCGGCCACCATATGGATTTTGGGATTTGAACTGAGGTCATCAAGCTTAGCAGCCAGTTCCTTTACCCACTGAGCTTTTACCCTATACCTTTTTTTTTTTTTTTTTTTTTTTTTCGGTCGTCTTTTTGAGACAGGGTCTCCCTATAACCCTGGAACTCACTATGTAGACCAGAATGGCCTTGAACTCAAGAGATCGCCTGCCTCTGCTGGACTAAGGTCACCACGCCTGACTTTTTTTTTTTTTTTTAATGACAGAATCTTTCAATGAACCTGGAATGAGCTGTTTGGTCTAGACAGCTGGCCACTAAGCCCATGGGATCTTCCTGTCTCCACTCCTTGGACTAGGGTGGAGATACAAACACACTCACACCCAGTTAGGGACCTCAGCCCAGACCTCTTGGTTGCATAGTAAGCATTTTAGCAATTCAGTGGTCTCCAGACCCCCAACTTGTATGCATGTGTAGTTGTTTTTGTTTTTATTTTAAGAGTCTAAGTTTTTATTTTATGTGTATGAGTGTTTGCCTGTGTTTATACATGCATGTGTGTCCCCGGTGCCCTCAGAGCTAGAAAAGGGTAGCAGATCTGGAACTGGAATTATAGGTGGTTGGCAGCTGCCATATGGATTCTGGGAATGGAACCCAGGTCTTCTGCAAGGGCAGCCACTGCTCTTAACCACTGAGCCATCTCTTTAGCCCCATAGCTACTGTTTTTGATGGTTACAAGCATACAACTGGGCCAGAGCTATCCATGGTAGGGCTGCTTGATTCCTGGGTATAGGAAAAGATGGACAGAGGGGAGCAGCACCTTTTGTCTGACCTCTGACTACTTGCCCAAAACATCCTAATTATTTAGAATTAAGAGGTTGGGAGCATACCTCTGTGGTAGAGAACTTGCTTAGCATGTGCAGGGCCCTGTATTTCCTCCACAACATCTCAAAAAATAAAAACATAAAAGAGAAAAGAAAAGGAAGCCAGGCATAGTGGTTAATTCCTATAATCCTAGCACTTGGGAAATAGAGACAAAAGGATTGCTACCAGTTCAAAGCCAGAGTGAACTATATAGGGCCTAAGAGTCAGCCTAGGGTAAATAGTAAAAGGGAGGGAGGGCGGGAGGAAAGGAAGGAAGGAAGGAAGGGAGGGAGGGAGGGAGAGGAAGGAAAATACAGAATGGGAAAGGGAATTAGGATTATTTTAAGAATGCTGCTGGGCTGAGGTTGTGGCTTCATTAGAAGAGTGCTTGCCTAGCATGCCTGAGCCCCAGGTTTCCATCCCCAGCATCATATAAACTGGGCATGGTGCTGCACATACCTGTCATCCCAGCGCTTGGGTGGTAAGGGAAGAAGGATCAGGAGTTTATGGTCATTTTTGGCTATGGTAGCAAGTTTGAGGACAGCCTTGGCCCCATGAGACACTGTCTCGTTTTTTTTTCAGTATGTATGAGTGTATTGCCTGCATGTATGTGAGTGCACCCGCATCATGCACTGCCGTAGAGGTCAGAAGAGGGCTTCGGATTCCCCTGGAACTGGAGTTAAGATTGTTCGTAGCTGCCATGCAGATGCTGGGACTCGAACTTGGGTCCTCTGCAAGAGCAGTCAGTGTTGTTAACTGCTGAGCCATCTCTCCAGCCCAAGACACTGTTTTTTAAAACAAACAAGGGGAGTTAGAGAGATGGCTCAATGGTTGAGGAGACTTGCTATATGATCATGATGGGGGGGGACTTTGGAGTCCAACACCCACATAACAAGCCAGGCATGCTATAAACATCTGTAAGTCCAGCTTTAAGGGATCACACCCTCTTCTGGCCTCCATGTGCAGAGAGGCAGAAGTGTATATACTCACAAAGATACACAAACCTTTGGGAAAAAATGAGGGGGTCAGTGAGATGGCTTAGTGTGTAAAGTGCTTACCACGAAGCTGGAGAGATGACTTAGCGGTTTTAAGAGCACATACTGCTCTTGTAGAGGACCTGCATTCATTTCCCAGCAACTCCTGTCCAGTGGCTCACAACTGCCGTAACTCTAGCTCCATGGGATCTGATGCCCTCTTCTAGTTCTTGCAGGCAATTACACTCCTGTGCATGTGTATACACACACACACACATTTGTTTATTTATTTATTTGTTTATTATTATTTAATTTTTGAGACAGGGTCTTCCTGTAGCCCCAGCTGACCCGGAATTGTCTATGTAGACCAGGCTGGCCTGGATCTCACAGAGATCCATCTGTCTCTGCCTCCAGAGTACTTGAATTAAAGGTGTGCACCACCAGGCCCTGCTACACACACATAACTTAAAAATAATGATGGGGCTGGAGAGATGTCTAAGTAGTTAAAAGCACTGGCTGCTCTTGCAGAGGACCAGGGTTCAGTTCCCAGCACCCACATGTAGCTTTAGCAAACATCAGTAACTCCAGTTCCAGGGGATCCAGTGCCCTCTTCTGGCCTCTGAGGACATTACAGGTGCACTTACGCATGCAGGCAAACATATATAACATAAAAAGAGAAAAATTAATTAACTAATTTCTTTTAAAAAGCCAAGCCTGGTGGCTCATGCCTTTAATCCCAACACTCAGGAGGCAGAGACAGGCAGATCTCTGTGAGATCCAGGCCAGCCTGGTCTACTTGGCATGTTCGCCTAGGGATATAAGACACCCTATCTCAAAAAAAAAAAAGAACCAATAGAAATATACCTTGGCAGTTTTCATGTTTCTGTCTCGGTAACTTTTGCATCATCTTTCCATGTAGTTCTCAGGAGAAAACGGGGAGAGGATGAAGGAGAAATATGGCGTGTTCTGTAGCGGCCACAATGAAGCACTCAGTCACTACAAGCTCCTACTGCAACAGAACAAGAAATTTCAAAATTTGATCAAGGTAGAAACATGATTTATTTAGGTTTTTCATGTTTGTGTGTGTGTGTGTGTGTGTGTGTGTGCGTGCGTGTGTGCGTGCGCGCCATGGCAGGCCTGTGGAGATCAGAGGACAGTCTTGACTGTTAGTCCTCACCTTCAACTTTGAGATACACAGACTAGCTGGCTCGAAAGCTTCCTGGAATTCTGTCTTCCTTCCATCCCACCTTGGGAGCTCTGGGATTGCAGATTCGTGCTTTTGTTGCATCATTATTTTAATTCTAGGGATCCAAACTCACGTCCTCACTCTCTGTAGCAAGTCCTTTAGAAATGAGCCATGCCCTCTGCCTTTGTTTTGGTTTTGGGTGATAGGGTTTCACTGTGTAGCCCAGCCTGGCTTCAAACTTGCAGATGCTCCTGCCACAGCCTCCCAAGCACTATGATTTCAGGGCTTTGTCACCATGCAAACCTCATTCATTCATTCGTTTGTTTTCCGAGACAGGGTCTCACATAGCCCGTGTTGACCGCGTGTAGCCAAGGATGACCCTAAACTTCTTTAGGTTTGCTTGGTGTTTTGTTTTGGTTTTTGGATTTTTGAGATAGGGTCTTCTTGTAGCCCCAGCTGGCCTGGAACTCCATATGTATACCAGGCTGGCCTCAATTTCAGATCTCACACAAAGATCTGCCTGCCACTGCCTCAAAGTGCCAGGATTAAAGGCATGTGCTACCACGCCCAGAATATTTTAAAATGGGGTTTCAGTCTATAGTTAGATTAACCCTGAGTGCTTGGAAACAGACACACAGCCTACCCCAGTCAGACAGATCTTTTTGAGCTGTTCTGTCCGAGAGCCCAACCTTCGGAACTTTGTCATTCTGCCTGGGGAGACTCAGTGAGTCCCCTGGCCTCTGGCGTGATTCATGTTTCTCTCCTTGACAGTGTACAGTAATCAGGCCAGTAAGATGGCTCAGTAGAGACACCTGAGTTCCATCCCCCAAATCCTCATGGTGGAAGGAGGGAAATAACTCCCCCAAGTTGTCTTCTTACCTCCATATGTGCACCATGGTGTACACAGACACATATGCATGCACATACTACACATGAACACACATACACAAATAAATAAATGTAAAAAATGTTTTTAAACCAACAACAGAGGAAAAAAAACAGAGATGATGGTGCACACCTGTCATCGTAGTATGTGGGAAATACAGGCAGGAGGCTCAGGAGTTCTAGGTCATCTTTGGCTATGTATGGAATTTGAGGTCAGCCTGGGCTACATGAGACCCTATTCCAATGATAAATAGGGAGGGGTATTGGAGGAAGGGAGGATAGAGGGGGTAGAGGCAGCAACGAAAGGTTCCAGTGAAACGTATATGCAGGGCTCTCAAAAACCCCACAGTGATACTCCTGTACTTTAAGACGAAGCTCTCTGGGAGGCTGGAGAGGTGGCTCAGCAGCTAAGAGCACTGTCTGCTCTCAGAGAGGGCCAGGATTGGGTCCCAATAACCACATGGCAGCTAACAGCAGTCCATGACTACAGTTCAGGGGTTTCCAGTGCCCTCTTCTGGGCTCCATGGACATAGCTTGATATAGATACATAATATAAATGCAGGCAAAACTGTCACACACATGAAATAAAAATAAATTTTAAAAAATGAAAAGGGCTGGAGAGTTGGCTCAGCGATTAAGAGTACTCACTGATCCGCATTTGATTCCCAGCACCCACATGGCAGCTAACAAGTGCCCTAACTCCAGTACCAGGGTATCCAACGCCATCTTCTGACCTTCGTGGGCATTGCATGACATGGGTGCATTTACCTACATGCAGGCAATACACTCATACACATAAAATAAAAACAGTAAATAATTTTTTTTAATGTTTTTTTTTTATTTTTATTTTATGTGTATGATCTTTTTCTAAAAAAATTTAAAAAGTAGTAGCTCTTTGGGCTGGGGCTGTCCCTCAGTTCATAGATCACTCTCCTACCAGGCATGAACCTCTGGCTTCCTCCTAAGCACCACATAAATCAGGCATGGGAGCATACCCCTATAATCAAATGGAGCCTGGAGGATCCAGTGTTCAAGGTGGAACCGTCAGCTGCATAGAAAGTGTGAAGTCAGCCTGGACTACATAAGACCCTGCCTCAAAATAAGTAATAGTGCCTGGAGTGCTCTCTGCCTGGCCAGGAATGAGTTCAAGTGGCTGCCTTGGTTCTCAGCTTTAGGTGTGTGCCTATCTCAAGCAACCAGGGAGTCAGATTTGGACAAAGACAGGGACCAGGCCCATTCTTACTGCTGAAGAGTTCTGACAAGCCTGATAGGAACTGGTCCTATGGTTGCTCACACTGCCTTTGTCTGCTGTCAGGATGATGGGTCTCAATGACCATTTTTCATCCATCGTTTTTCATACCAAGAATGTCAGTGAAGTGAAACTGGCTACATTCCTTTAGCAGTACTGGCAAGCATTTCACTCATTCACAGTTACTCTTTTTCTTTCCTTAGATGATATCATGTGCCAGATCATTTTGTCTTTGAATAATATTGGTGAACATCTGACATTTAGGAGGACCTCAAGAATAATCATTACCCACCAATTCTGTGAAGGCTTAATGAATTTGCCATTCTACACCTAGAGCACATAAGGCAATAATTCTAATTGCAAAAGAAGTCTGAAAGTTTCTAAAACCAATTCACAAGCCACTCTTATCAAAAATGAATGACAGTTGGGCATCAATACCCACACCTTTAATCCCAGTACTCAAGAGGCAAAGGCAGGTAGATCTCTGTGTGATTGAGGCCAGCCAGATTGACCTAGAGAGTTTCAGGCCATTTTAGGCCAGCTGGGTTTGCAGGGAGATCCTGTCTCAAAAGTCACAATGAGGTTTTCCTAAGGAGTCCAAGACTGGTTTCTGTTCCTTTTGTGTTGTTTGTTTTCTTATTCTATTTTTCTGCTTATTTGTTTGCTTTAAAAACAGTTTCTCCTGTAGTCCATGGTGTCCTTGAACTCACTGTGTAGCCAAGGATGACCTCCAATTCTTCAACCTCCTGCCTCCACCTCCCAGTGCTGAGACGACAGGTGTGTCCCACCATGGGTACCTTGTCTTGTTTTTGTGTATTTAAAAAAAATTTTTTTTACCTGAGTATTTTACCATGCAGTGGCCACAGAGGCCACAAGAAGACATCGGATCCCCTGGAACTGGAGTTGCAGGTGGTTGTTAGCCACCATGTGGGAGCTAGGAACTGAACCCTCTGTAGGACTGCTGAGCCATCTCTCTAACCCCTTAAGAGAGGGTGTTGCTTTGTAGCTCAGGGTGCCTCAAATTCAAGCTCCTTCTGCTTCAACCTCCCAAGTATGAGGATTACAGGCGAGCCCTAGCCTACCTGGCTTAAATTCCTCTTTAACAGACCTTGAGGGCTGTCCACTTCACACACAGGATGAAGGGACTTTTACTGGAAGGGCCTTTCCAGTAAACAGAAGGTAAAAATCCCTGCTTTGGGGGTCATAGAAGAAAGAATGGTCACAGGATTGAGAAAGGGAAGGAGCTCCTTGCCTGAGATACTAACAGGAAGCTGAAGCTGGTTACCAAGGACTGTAATCCCAGTTGCTCAGGAGGCTAAGGCAGAAAGATACATTCAAGACCAACCTGGTAAATCTTCTGAAACACTCTCCCAGAAACATAGAAAAAAGGCCAGGTGTGGTGGCACACACCTTTAATCCCAGCACTTAGGAAACAGAGGCAGGCAGATCTCTATGAGATGGAAGCCAGCCTGGTCTACATAACAGTTCTAGGTTAGCTGGGGCACAATAGTGAGACCCTATCTAAAAAAAAAAAAAAAAATTAGGAAAAGGGGGCAGAGTAGAGAGATAGCTCAGCAGTTAAGAGTACTTAATACACAATCATAAGGACCAGAGTTCAGATCCCAGCACTTATGTAACAAGCCTGTCATTCTGTGCATACCTGTAACCCCTTCTGGTAGGGGCAGAAAACAGGATTTGCTGGTTTGCTGCCTAGTCAAAAAAACAGAAGCTCAGCAGAGCCCAAACATCCCCAGGTCCCACTAGAGCTTGTCACTCAGCACAGAGCCTGGCCAGGAGTGGCTGCCTTTCAGAATGACTTCAATCTTGACGTCCACTTTTAAAAACCTTTCTACTGCCGGGTGTGGTGGTGCATGCATTTAATCCCAGCGCTTGGGAGGCAGAGGTAGGTGGATCTTTGTGAGTTCAAGGCCAGCCTGGTCTACATAGCGAGTTCCAGGACAGCTGGAGCTACAGGGAGACCGTGTCTCAAAAAGACAGAAAAAAAAAAAAAAACCTTTCTACTACATCAAAATGGGCCCTCAGGTTTTCTGTGAGACCTCTGAGCTGTTCTTCCCAACTACAAGCTGCCCCAGCTGACCAGATTAAATCAAAGAAGACCTTGGCAAAATCCAACGTAAAGAATATCGTGATTGTGGAAGGTGTCCGCATTCCATTTTTGCTGTTAGGCACTTCTATAAAGACCTGATGCCACATGATTTGGCTAAAGCAGCACTTTCAGGTTTGTTGCATCAGACCAATGTTCCAAAGGATGTTGTTGATTATATTGTCTTTGGTACAGTTATTCGGGAAGTAAAAACAAGCAGTGTGGCTAGAGATGCTGCGCTCAGAGCTGGCGTCTCTGACAAGACTCCGGCCCCCACGGTTACTATGGCTTGCATCTCTTCAAACCAAGCCATTACCACAGCTGCTGGCCTGGTTGCTTCTGGCCAGTGTGATGTGGTTGTGGCTGGGGGTGTTGAGTTAATGTCCAACGTTCCTATTCGTCATTCAAGGAGAATGAGAAAAATGATGCTTGATCTCAATAAAGCCAAGACTCTGGGCTAGTGACTATCCTTACTCTAAATTCAGATTGAATTTTCTATCACCTGCGCTCCCCACAGTGGCTGAGTTCTCCACTTATGAGACCATGGGCCACTCTGCAGATCGACTAGCTGTTGCCTTGCTGTTTCTCAGATGGAACAGGATGAATATGCATTATGCTCTCACAGTCTGGCCAAGAAGGCACAGGAAGAAGGTCAACTTTCTGATATGTGTACCAGGAAAGGACACAGTCACCAAAGATAATGGCATCCGTCCTTCCTCACTGGAACAGATGGCCAAATCAAAACCGGTGTTCATCAAACCCTATGGCACAGTGAGAGCTGCAAATTCTTCTTTCCTGATGGACGGCGCTTCTGCAATGCTCCTTATGTCAGAAGACAAAGCTCGAGCCATGGGTTACAAGCCCAAGGCATATCTGGGGGATTTTATGTATACGTTCCAGAATCCAAAAGATCAGCTTTTATTCAGACCAACATATGCTACTCCAAAAGCTCTAGAAAAGGCAGGATTAACCATGAGTGATACTGATGCTTTTGAATTTCATGAAGCCTTCTCAGGTCAGATTTTGGCTAACTTTAATGCCACGGATTCTGATTGGCTCGCGCAGAACTATGGGTAGGAAAACCAAGGTTGGATCACCTCCTCCGGAGAAATTTAGTATCTGGGGTGGATCACTGTCTCTGGGACACCCTTTTGGAGCCACTGGCTGCCAGTTGGTTATGGCAGCTGCCAACAGATTGCCTAAGGATGGAGGCCACTATGCCTTAGTGGCTGCCTGTGCAGCTGGAGGGTGGGGTCATGCAGGATAGTGCAAGCTTATCCAACATGAGTGCTTTGAGGAGGCGACCTGATTGTGCAGCGCTCACTTGCACTGGGCAATGCCATTTCAACACTACTGCGTGACACCTGTAGTTGCTAGCTTCTCTTAGGAAAGCAACATCTGTGGCCTTCTGTTAAATACTTTACAATCAAGCCTTGTGGGTGTTCTGAGCTTTTCAATAATCATAGCCTCTTTTGTCATAAGGGCTAATGAGTGGTTGCAGTTTGGAAACAGGTCAGCTAAGGTTTGGAATCATCTTTGTAACATTTACGGACTCTCCTTTTCCTATCTATGTCGTAGAGATAATTATTTTTCTCTAAAATATAAACCAGTGTGCCTCAGTTAACTCATAGAAAAAAATAATAATTAAGCATCACTGAAAACTGAAATGTTTAAAGACATAAATACCATGGTGGTTAACCTTAATAAAGTAGAGAAATATTAATAAAAAAAAAAAAAAAAAAATAGCTGTCTCCCTTTCCTCTCCTGGGGAAGATATGCTTTATACATAGACTCACACAGACCCATAAAAGGAACTTGTTAGCTAGGCATAGTGGCACATACCTGTAGTCTCAAAGCCAAATGGATGTGTGTAGAAACAGCTTGAGATATAGCTTAGTGATAGAGTATTTGCCTAGGATGCATGAGGCCATGGGTTCCATCACCAATGAGATGCAATGAGCAGGTGACTCAAGCCACCTGCTCCAGATTTTAGTGGTGGGATGGATAAGTCCCCCCCTTGTACTCCACTACACTGGGTGGTGGGCTGGAGAGATGGCTCAGTGGTTAAGAGCACTGACTACTCTTGAAGAGGACCTGGGTTCAGTTCCCAGCACCCACATGGCAGCTCACAGTGGTCTGTATCTTCAATTCCAGAGAATCCAACACCCTCTTCTAGCCTGTGCCAGCATTGCAGGTGTACATAATATATGCAGACAAAACACTCATAAAATAAAATAAATAAGCCAGGCATGATAGGCATGCCTTTAACCCCAGCACTCAGGAGGCAAAGGCAAGTGGATCTCTCTGAGATCGCAGCCAGCCTGGTCTACATTAGCAAATTCCAGGCCAGCTAGGGCTACAGACCCTGTCTCAAAATAACAACGACAACAACAACAACAACAATAATAATAATAAATTTTTAATGCAGGGAGGGAAGAGGGAGGGCAAAAGGGAAGGAGAAAGGAAAGGAGCGGGGAATGGAGGAAGGAGAGGGACACTTAACACAAGCCGTTTTATTTTCCATTGCATAGAAAATTGGCAACTTCTCCATTGTGCGGCGGCTAGGGGTGCAAGAATGTATCCTTCTGGTTACGCAGCGTATAACCAAGTACCCAGTGCTGGTGGAACGCATCATTCAAAACACGGAAGGTAGGAACTTGGCAGTGGCCCATCTGTGGCAGGGTTTGGTGGCACACACCTTTAATCCCAGCAGTTGGGAGACAGAGGCAGGTGGATCTCTATGAGATCAAGGCCAGCCTGGTCTACATAGTGAGTTCCAGGACAGCTCTGGCCGACCATGTCTGGAAAAAAAAAAGAGTCACCTGCCAGGACTTCAATGAACAGGTGACTCAAGCTACCTGCTCCAGATTTTAGTGGTGGATTGGACAAGTCTCCCCCCTTGTACTCCACTACACTGGGTGTGGGGTGTTTCTACTTGAGAGCGAAGTGATGGTCAGCATGTGAAGGCAGGAGCTATTTGAACCCTGCCCCTAGGACATGCTGGGCCATGGCAGGTCTCTTGTGACCTAGATAAGTGAATGAAATCCTGAGTTATGAGGTGACTTCTTTGTCGCATAGCTAGGGGCCAAAGAGCAAGCTGAGCTGGATGTGGTTCGCCTAGCACTCAGGAAGCCTAATTATGACGCTATTCCTGAGGGGAATCTACTCACCCCAGTAGGGAACCAACTACAGCCCAAAGAAAAGATACCAGCAAAGTCCAACTTGGTGAACCAGTGAGTTTTGTTGGGGTTACTTATGGTACAGGAATATAGGTGTGGGGTAACTTACAGGAACACAGATACTCATAGACAGTTGCATCATCAAAGCCCACCCTAGCATGGGTGACAGTGCTTGAAAGTTGGAACCCTAGAGCCCTCTGCACAACATGCAGGCAGCTTAGATCAGATCATGTCTCCTCAGCGGTTCTTTCTGCTTATGTAACCTTATGGGAAGGAGGGGTCTTGGGAATCCTGGAAGCTTCAGAACTTAGACTTGTGAGTTGTCTACTTCCTGAGTCTTAAGGAGCCTCCTGTTAGAACTTCCTGAATCTTGATGAGCTTCCCTCCAAAATGGAATGTTTCAGTTGGGAGAAAAATACTCTATAACACCTAGGCAGGAAGATCAGCAAGTTCTAGGCCAGGCTGGGCAGCATAGAGAGACCCTAATTCAAAAATCAGACAGAAGGGAAAAAGAGTGACATACTTATAGCCACAGAGAACACAATAGAATGTTCAGGCAGCATGCATAGGAGCTCTTAGGAGCCAGGCATGATGGCCACACTTTCGACATCTCCAGTAGGTTTGGGCCATGAGAAAACTAGCAGGTACTCCTACAGTGACCTTCAAGTGGGAGGGATCTGCTCTGGGTTATGGAAGAAGGTAAGAAGAGTGTTTTATGACACTTCAGGATTTAGGGGGAGTCTTGTATGGAGGAGTGTTGTGGGTGGGTGTGGTATGCTGGGAAATTTATGCCATTTGAATCGCACCTTAACTTTGCATTCATGGATTTTGTACCTAGGTAAAAGCTAAACTCAGCTGAGCATGGTGGCACTCACCTGTAATTCAGGAGGCAGAGGTGGGAGAATCTGCAAGATCGAGGCCAGCCTGGTGCACATAGTGAATTCTATAGGCTGACAAGGGCTATGGAACAAGGCCATGTCTCAAAAAACAAAGCAAAGCAAAACAAAACAAAACTAGCCTAATGTGGTGGCACATGCCTGTAATTGTAGCACCAGGGAGGTAGGGGTAGGAGCATCAGGAATTGAAAATCAGTCTCAGCTATATAGGAATTTGAGGCTACTTGAGACCCTGTCTCAAAAAATAAACAAACAAAAAAAAAGTCAGGTGTGGTAGCACACACCTTTAGTCCCAACACTTGGGAGACAGAGGAAGGGAGATCTCTATGTGTTTCTGGCTAGCTGAGGGTACTGGGAGACCCTGTTTTAAAAATAAATAGGGGCTTGGAGAGACGGCTCAGCAGTTAAGGTCACTGATCCCCATAGGGGATCCAATGCTGTCTTCTGATCTCTGGGGGCACTGCATGACAGGGGTGCGCTTAGTACATGCAGGCAGTATACTCATACACACACAAAAAAGTAACAAAATATTTTTTAAATAAATGAATAAAAACAAACTAAATTCTAAGCTATTAAATTAATTTTGGAGAACCATTTCCATCTAAGGAATTATACTTGACAGATAATTCTCAAAGGTCCCCTGAACACAGGGAACAGACCTCACAAATCCCACACAAACATAGTATATCCATTTCTCTTGAAGTCCTGAGTGTGGACACAGAAAGACTCTAACTCTCACTCTGTGTGGCAGCTGGCACCGAGGACTATGAAGACCTCACCCACGCCCTGAACCTCATCAAAGACATCATCTCACAAGTGGATGCCATAGTCAGTGAGTGTGAGAAGGGCCAGCGCCTCAGGGAGATTGCAAGCAAGATGGACCTCAAGTCATCCAGCAAGCTCAAGAACGGGCTCGCCTTCCGCAAGGAGGATATGCTGCAGCGCCAGCTCCACCTGGAAGGCACCCTGTGCTGGAAGTCCACATCAGGACGATTGAAAGGTAAAGCTCTGCCCCTGGCTACCTCTAGTGACTTCCATGCTGGATCAGTGGACTCTTCCTAGGAGGTGTGATTTCTATGTCAGAGTGGTGGGTACCATTTGAGAGTGATAGATACCATCTTGGAGTGAAGGCATCGTGTTAGAATGGTGGCCACCATCTTAAGAGTGATAGGTACCATCTTAGAGTGGTGGGTGGGCACGCATCATCATGAAGTAGTAGGTGCCATTTTAGAATGGTGGCACCATCTTGGACTAGCAGGTACCATCTTGAATTGGCACCAGGCTGGGTGGTATGAACACAATTTGCAAGACCTGAATGATTTAAAGTTTAAAGGAACCAGTGGGCTGCAGAGAACTGGATAGAGGAAGACTATCAGAATTAGACAGGGTTATCAGAAGTGACCTTTCCAGGTCTGGAGATGTGGCCCATTTGGTTGAGTGCTTGCCTAGCGTGTATAACGTCCTGATTTCCATCCCAGTATAGCATAAGCTGAGTGTGGTGGCAATCAGCACTCAGGAGATAGAAGCAAGAGGATCAGGAATTCAAGGTCGTAGCAAGTTTGAGGCCATGGCAGGATCCATGAGATGCTCTGTTCCTGTGGAAATGTACTCAGCTTTTACATTTAAGTGTGAAAACCTCTCTGTGAGAGATGTTCATAAAAGGACAAGGCACCAAGCAAGACTTGGCCCAAGGGTTCTAAGACCAGCCCTCCCTATACCACAGCAGTAGGAGGCAGGAGGAGACCTGGGGCAGAAAGAACAGAGAAGTTTATTGCAATAAAGTTAGGCCATTACAATAAAGAAAACTACCTAGGGGCTGGGGAGATGGCCCAGTGGGTAAAATGCTTGCCAAGCAAGCATGAGGACCTGAGTTCGGATTCCCCAGCACCCACTTAAAAGCCAGGCATGGTGGTAATGAGTGCCTTTAACCCCAGTGCTGGGGGTGGGGAGTGGCATAGATAGGCAGATCCAATGAGTTCTGGGTTTAGAGAGAGACCTGTGTACAGAAATAAGAAGCTGGACATGGTGGTGCATACCTTTAATCCCAGCACTTGGAGGCAGAGGCAAACAAATCTCTTTGAGTTTGAGGCCAGTCTGGTCTACATAGCCAGTTCCAGATGAGCTAGGGCTCCAAGAAGACCCTGTCTCAAAAAACAAACATAAGATGGAGGGCTGGTAAGATGGGTCACCAGGTAAATGTGCTCGCTGCCAAGCCTGGTGACCTGAATTAGATGATGGAAGTAGAGAAAGTAGAGAACCAACTTTCACAAGTTTTACTCTGACCTTCGTATACATTCCATGGTACACACCCACACAAATAAATAAATAATAAATAAAAATAAAGTGAAGCATGAACAAGGAGGACACCCACAGTCAACTTCTGGCCTCCACACACACATACATACGTACATGCACACATCCACATGAACATATACATATATTACACACACAAAACAGTAACGATGACGATGATGATAAAAGAGGAGCTGGAGAGGGGGCTGGAGAGATGGCTCAGCGGTTAAGAGCACTGGCTGCTCTTACAGAGGACCTGGGTTTAGTTCTCAGCACCCACATTGTAGCTAATAATCATCTGTAACTCTAGTTCAAAGGGATCCAGTGCCCTGTTCTGGCTTCTGGGCATTGCACACATGTGGTGCATTTATATGCATGCAGGCAAAACACATAAAATATAAATAAATATTTAAAATAATATTAGTTAGCAATAGTGGCATGCACCTTTCATCCCAGCACTCAGAAGGCAGAGGCAGGCAGACCTCTGTGAGATGGAGGCCAGCCTGGTCTATATAGCAAGTTCCAAGCCAGCCGGTCTCAAAAAGAAAACCACCACAACAAAAATAATAATAGCAGTAGTAAAAGTGCCACCTGGCTCAGTGTGGGCACCCTGGCTCAAGCTCTAAACACTTTGGGGTGGAGCTCTGAGGGAACATCTAAGAGGAGACTCTGGTACTTGTTCCTACTGAATCTTGAAACTCAGAAACTTGATGGGAAGGGGAGAATTAGAATAGAAGCTTCCAGACTCAGGATACTGAAGCTTCATGGTACTTAAGCCTTTGGGGACCAGGGTGAGTACTGGGCCACCCAGCAAGCCAGGCCGACCTCGTGACCTCCAGACACTCCCCCATGTGCTGCTCTCCTCAGATGTCCTGGCCGTGCTGTTGACTGATGTGCTGCTGCTGCTGCAAGAAAAAGATCAGAAATACGTCTTTGCTTCTGTGGTATGTGTCTAGTGTCCAGAGCTGCGTGCTAGGACCATGTGGAAGTGATCTCCGTGGAGGGAGGGTCTACGAAAAGACACAGAGGAAACATGGCTAGGAAGGGAAATCATCCTGTCTCACCAAGGTCCTTCCAGAAGGTTCTAGTCAAGCAGGTGTAGAATTTATGGAGACTGAAAGCCCCACTCTGCTCTTTGGTGTGGGTCTGGTTCCTTTTGAAATGTCTCAGGTGGGCCATTCAAGGGGGACACTGAGGGACTGGAGAGATGACTCATTGCTTAAAAGCATTGGCTGCTCTTTCAAAGGCCCAGGTTCTGTTCCCAGTACTCACATGGCAGCTAACAGCCATCCTTAACTCCAGTGCCAGAGGATTTGATACCTTCTTCTGGCCTCCCTTGGGCATTGCATACACATGATGTGCTTAATATACTGGCAGACAAAACATTTCTTTACATTACAAAAAATATTTTTAATTACAAAAATTTTAAGAAATTCATGTTAAGGGATTAGAGAGATGCTCAGTGGTTAAGAGCACTGACTGCTCTTGCAGAGGACCCAGGTTCAATTCCCAGCACCCACATGACAGTTAACAACTGTCTGTAACTGCAGTTCCAGAGGGTCTGACGCCTTCTTCTGACCTCTGTGGGCATTGCGCAGTATGGGTGTACTTACACACGTGTAGGTAATACACTCATACACATAAAATAAAAATAATAAATAAAATACTTTTTTTAAGAAATTCATGTTGGGGGTGTTGCTGAAATGGATTATCTTTTTGCTTAAGAAATTTATTAAGCCAGGTGTGATGGCCATGCCTTTAATCCCAGCACTTGGGAGGCAGAGGTGGGCCAATCTGTGAGATCAAGGCCAGCCTGGTCTACATAGTTAGAGCCTGTCTTAAAAAAAAAAAAAAATTAGGGGCTGGAGAGATGGCTTAGTGGTTAAGAGCCCTGGCTGTTTTTGCAGAAGACCCAGGTTCGAATCCCAGCACCCACATGGTGGCTAACAACCATCTATAAGTCCAGTTCCAAGGGATCCAGTGCCCTCTTCTCTCCCCTGCAGGCACTCCATGACATGGGTGCACTTATGTACATTCTAGCAATACACTCGTACACATGTAAATAAATAAAAAGAATTAATGTCACAAATAGATGCATGATGGGGGCTCTGAAGAGAAAGTTCAACCCACAAGTCAGAGTAGGGTCCTTTCTATAGGCCTCAGGAAATGGGAGGGTTCATGGAGTCAGGCTGTCTCATTCCTAGGTGACAGTGGGAGAGGGAATCCCACTGGGAGGATGTGTGGAAGAAGTGAAAGGGGTGCACATCTGTTCGAGGTGTAGCTTTCGTAGGGTGAGGGACAGGTTGCCACTGGTAGTCCTCTGGGGTCCCAGACTCTAGCAACTTTGTAACTTCACTGAGGAAGTGAGACTGGAACCTGTCACTCACTGGAATCCAGGCACCCGTGGCATCTGTTGACAGACTTAGAGAGAGGCCCTCGGTAGGGTGTCTGTCTCCTTGTAGGAGCAGGGATCCATGCTTAGCTCTGAGGATGGAGACAGGGTGGGATGAAGGATCAGCTCTGAGGATGGGAACTCCGGAGAGATGCAGGCTCAGCTCTGAGAGAAGGATGAGGGTTCATCTCTGAGGAAAGAGAGGGGGATGCAGGATCAGCTCTGAGGATGGAGATACAGAGAGAAATGTGGACTCAGCTCTGAAGATGGAGATATATAGAGAGATGCAGGCTCAGCTTTGAGGATGGAGACAGAGAGATGCAGGCTCAACTTCGAAGATGGAGATATATAGAGAGATACAAGTGGGCATAACGAGCTCTGTCTGACCTAGGATTTATTTCTTTTCCAAGTCGCCTGTTACAGACTCAGGAACATACTCTCTGGAAGGGGCTTGACTGTAGCCCTGAGGCTAGGAAGAGAGTGAGGATGCTGCCTGAATAGCTAGCTCATAGCCCAGAATCTAAAACCCATCCTCAGTCTCTCCAGCCTCATCACAACTTGTTTCTTTGTGGCTCTGCTGCTGCCCAGCATTCATGGGTCCTCACAAGCCCCAGAATCTGGCCAAGAGAACTTTCCCCTCTTCTCAGAGACTTACTGGTCTGTTCACTAGGGACTGAGAGCTCAGATAACCACTGCTCCAGAGCTGGGATCACATATCCTGCAAAGAATGCAAACCCCGGAACTCCCTTATCATGAGAGCCAAGTCCAACCAGGACTTGAGTGGCCTTACCTGCCCTGATGACCTAGGATCCTTCAGCATCTAACGCACACCAACTCTTCCTTCCTGTCACTGTGAAGAACCCTGACAAAAGCAGCGTGAAGAAGAGAGGGCTTCCAGATTACAGTCCATATTGTGAGGAAGTCAAGACCAGGAACCTGAGGCAGCTAGTCACATCAGATCCACAGTCAGGAGCAGAGAACACTGGATGCTAATGGTCAGCTCATTTTCTGTACTCATGCATGGTCCAGGCATCCCCACTGTGAGCCCCAGTCACTGAGGGCTTAAAGAACTTGTTTGTATCTGATTCACCCAGAGAGGAAGTTCCTTTATATAGCCTTAGCTGGCCCGGAACTCACTATGTAGACCAGGCTGGCCTCCAGTTCACAGAGATACACCTGCTTCTGCCTCCCCAGTGCTGGGATTAAAGCCTGCACCACCACACCCCTCAGGGTGTTTTAAGGCAGGCCTTAATCTCACATATCAAGTTCCAAGCCAGCTGAGGCTATAGGGAGACCCTGTCTCAAAAAAGACAAAAAAAAAAAAAAAAAAAAAAAAAAAAAAAAAAAAAAAAAAAACCCATAAGGTAGCCAGATCATGGCACACACCTTTAATCTGAGCACTCAGGAGGCAGAGGTGGTTGTATCTCTGTGAGTTCAAGGCCAGCCTGGTCTACATAGGGAGTTTCAGACCAGTCAGGGCTACATAGTAAAACTCTGCCTTAAAAAAAAAAAAAAGAAAAGAAAAGACAGGGACCAGAGAAATGGCTCAGCAGCTAAGAGCAAGAACACTGGCTGCTCTTGCGGAGAACTTGGATTTGGTTGCCTTTACCCCACCATCCATACTCATTCCAGTTCCAGGGTATCCGATGCCCTCTTCTGGTTTCTAGAGGTATTGCAGGTATGTGGTACACTTGAATACATTCAGGTAAAACACTCATACATATTAAATAAGATTCTTTTTTTTCTGGTCCTTTTGAGACGGAGTCTCCCTGTAGCTCCAGCTGTCCTGGGACTCACTATGTAGACCGACCAGGCTGGCCTTGAACTCACAGAGATCCGCCTGCCTCTGCCTCCAAAGTGCTGGGATTAAAGGCGTGCACCACCATGGCCCGAAAAAAAAAAAAATCATAGGTGGACAATGCCTGAGAAACAGCCAAGACTACCCTATGCTGTACACACACACACACCCTGGGGGGTCGGGGAGGCACATCTCACCTCCAAGTCTTCTCTGTGCCAGCCCTCTCCCCAGACACTTTGGGTTCTGATGTTACTTGGATGCTGCAGGATAACAGGTTGAGTTTCCTGTCACTTTCCTGCATTTAGGACTCAAAACCACCCATCATCTCTCTGCAAAAGCTCATCGTGAGGGAAGTGGCCAATGAGGAGAAGGCCATGTTTCTGATCAGTGCTTCCCTGCAAGGGCCAGAGATGTATGAGATATACACCAGTTCCAAAGAAGACAGGAACACCTGGATGGCCCATATCCGCCGAGCTGTGGAAAGGTGAGAGGGACCCACTAGGGTCTCCTGCCCACTCAGGCAAGCTCCTCCTTCCTAGTTCATGGTCTTGACATTGATAGGCTAATTGTCTATCAGTTGTGACCTTAACCTCCCTGACAGACCCTTTGATTTCTTGGTTAATTGGTTAATTTGTTGGATGGATAGGTGGATGGATGATTGGTTGGTTGGTTGGTTGGTTTTGTCATACAGTCTCATGTATTACATGAGACTAGTCTCTAACTTACTATGTAGCCAAGGATAACCTTAAACTTCTGATAGCTGGGGCTAGAGAGATGACTCAACACTGACTGCTCTTCTAGGGGACTCAGGTTTGGTTCCCAGCACCCACATAACTTAAGTTTCAGGAAATCCAGCACTCTTGTTTGGCTTCCATAGACATTGCACATAAATGGCGCACCTACATATGTGCAGACAAAACACTCATACACATGAAATAAAAATTTATTAATTTTTTAAAAAGTACAGGGTGTGGTGGGGCACACCTTCAATCCCAGCACTTGGGAGGCAGAGGCAGGTGGATCTTTGTGAGCTCAAGACCAGCTACAGACCAGCTCAAGACCACTACATAGTGAGTTCAAGCCAGCTGGGGCTACAGGGAGACCCTGTCTCAAAAAGATTAAAAAAAAAAAGAAAGAAAGAGCCAGGCCAGGTGTGGTAGTGCACTTCTCTGTCCTCGGCATTCAGGAGGCAGACACAGAAACAGGTGGTTCTCCGTGAGTTCCAGGCCATCCTGGGCTACATAGTGAGACCTTGTCTTTCGGAATATAATTAGATGTTTGTCAAGTGTGGTGACACACACCTTTAATCCCAGCACTAGGGAGGCAGAGGCAGGTGGATGTCTCTGAGATGGAGACCAGCCTGGCCTATATAGTGAGTTCCAGGTGTCTCAAAACAAAAATATGAACAAAGAATGTTTACCTGGTTACATTTTGGGAACTGTCATGTGAATGGTTCGCTTTCTCTTTCCCTTCTTTTCATCCAACCTAAATCTCTGACAAAATCAGAGGCGCAGGCCCAGGGGCTGTCGCTCAGTTGGTAGAGTGTTTACCTAGCATGCAGAAAGCCCTCAGCTCAAGCCCCAGAACCACGTAAACCATGTGTGGTGATGCATGCCTGTAATCCCAGCACTTGAAAAGTAGAGGCAGGAGGACCAGCAGTTCAGTCATCCCTTGGAGTTTGAGGCCAGCCTGGGATATATGATATCCTGTCTCAAAAAACCAGAAAAAATCAGAGGTTCAGGCTAGGGATATAGCTCAGGAGAAGAGCTCTTTTGTAGCTTATACAGGACCCTAGGTTCAGTAGTCTTTTTTTTTTTAAATTATTTAATAACCACATGATCAGAAGAAGCATTTCATTACAGCATTAACATATTCAATGACAATTTCCAGAGCAAAGATGTATCTCCTGTCTCAAAAAACCAGAAAAAATCAGAGGTTCAGGCTAGGGATATAGCTCAGGAGAAGAGCTCTTTTGTAGCTTATACAGGACCCTAGGTTCAGTAGTCTTTTTTTTTTTAAATTATTTAATAACCACATGATCAGAAGAAGCATTTCATTACAGCATTAACATATTCAATGACAATTTCCAGAGCAAAGATGTATCTCAATATTGGCTGTAAATTACATTTTAGGTTCACAGTTGAATTAAACCCCGTAAGACATAAAATTGAATGAGGTTTTAACCTTTAAAAAGATCTCCATTTCATTTTAAAATATACTGTTTCACACAGAAAAAAAAACCTCATTTTTATTGCTTCTAACTCTTAGATGTTTGCACATGTGTCTCTAAAGAAGAGGTTGTCGGATCCCCTGGAACTGGAGTTATGGACAGTTGTTAGCTGCCATGTGGGTGCTGGGATTCGAACTTGGGTCTTCTGCAAGAACAACCAGTGTTCTTAACCACTGAGCCATCTTTCCAGCCCCTGAATGAGGTTTCCCTGTAGCCCCAGCTGTCCTGGAGCTCACTATATAGACCAGGCTGGCCTTGAACTCACAGAGATCCGCCTGCCTCTCCCTCCTGAGTGCTGGGATAAAAGGCGTGCACCACCACACCGGGCAGAAAAATTCATTTTTAATGCTACTAACACTTAGATGTTTGCACATGCATCCCTAATCTCTATGTATCTGATTATTACTACTTTCTGAGATCCACCTGAGCATGGATATAAAATCATCGGGTAGATTTCAGTGGTAATGTATTTCACCTCTGCAAATTAACATGGAGCACATTTTTATGTTTCTTCCTCAAATGTAACTCATTTTTTTTTATTTGTTGATTTTTTTGTGTGTGTATTTCATGCAGAACATCCTAAACAATCCCATTCATCCATATACCCACATCCCAAATGGCACCCTACCATAGTCTCCCCTCCCCACTGGAGCCCATATACTCTGTAGTCCCTGCCACTGGCCACTGTGTTGTCAGCACTCCAAGCCGTTCTCCAGTGCCCGTCCATCCACTGAATCCAGTCAGCCCATCTAGAGCTCCATGTTCTAGGAAGATCAGCTCTTCCTCATCCAGCAGCAATCAGCTGCCAATATTCCTCTAGATAAGATTGGGGTCTGCTGCTCATTCTCCCAGTTCTATGCTGGGTTACTGTCTGGGAGTCTCTTGGGCCACTCTGGCCAACAACTCAAAGGAAGGCATTGCCTGTCTGGCCTTGTTTCTTGTTATGGAGCTTTTAGCTATACACATGGACTCTTAAAGAACTATATTGATCCCTTTAATCTTTGGTTATACTTTCCTTTTGGGTGTTTAAGACCATACAGTTGGCCCAGATAAATCAATTTATTTTTACTCTTAAGGTCATTCGAGAATCTGTTTCTCAGGGGTCACATGGGCTTGAGAGGAGCACCTGGCTCCTTTGTTTTACCAGTTCCATCTATGTGAAGATAAGTCAAATGTCCTGCTTGACCATGTCTGGCTTCATTTGGAAGCATGAATAAGATGTTTCCTCTGAGTTGACCCTCCTCTTTGTAGACTGGACACTGGTTCAAGTTCATCTGGTGGGGTCTCCTCGGCCTCCTTGATCAAGAGGACAGGTGACTCATCACAGTTACAGGACATTTTGAGAGATGCTCATAGTCCCCTGGAGCTTAGTCGACCTAGGAGGGCAAGGAGCAAAAACTGTCCTTTATGTCCCTCTGACCAAATTAGTATAGGCCTCAAAGTATGGCTGTTAGAGATCCAAGAAGTTTAGTTCCACCAGTCTGGTGATTTTAATTACCATGTGCTATGTAGATAAAGCTTGAGCAAAGGCCTAACTTTCTCAGATAAAACATGCCTAGGCATGTATTATATTCCCTGAGATATATATATATATATAATTTGTCAGTAGGTTGTTCGATTAATATGGTTCCCTCTGGTTTTTTAAAACTAGCTAGGCCTTATTTATCTCTCACATTGTCTAACCCTTCCATCATGGTTTCCCCAATTAAGGTGCCCCCATTTTCCCCCTTTCTCCCTTAATTATACCCTTCTCCTATGGTCCTACCTCTCTTGAACTCCTTCTTTCCCTTTATCCCCAAGGTTCCTTGTATAACCCCCACCCAAAAAATAACCCCATTTTTATCCATATCTCCCTTATTAATGCCTGTTTCCTACTATTCTCTTTCAGATTCTTTCTTTTCCTTTATCTCCCTGGTTCCCTTTCATGATCCTGGTTCCTGGTTCCTGTAGTTATGTCTGGATACATACTCACTTATAAGGGTTTGGTGCTAGAATCCACATTGAAGGAGAACATATGTCATTCTTCTTTCTGAGTCTGTTTCTTCACTTAGTATAACAGTTTCTAGTTCCATCCATTTACCTGTAAATTTCATGATTTCATCTTTCTTTACTGCTGAGTAAAACTCCATCGTATAAATGAACCACATTTTCATTATCCACTCGTCAACTGAGGGACACTTAGGTTGCTTCCATCTCTTGGCTATTGTGAAAAGAGCAGCAACAAACATGGTTGTACAAGTGTCTCTACAATAGGATGAGTCCTTTGGGTATATGCCAAGGAGTGGCATAACTGGGTCAAATGGTAGGTTAATTTCTAGTTTTTTCAGAGTTCTCCACGCTGCTGTCCATAGGAGTTGAAGAAGTTTGCAATCCCACCAGTGGTGGATGAGTGTTCCCTTCTCCGCACATCCTCTCCAACATTTGGTATGGTTTATTCTCTTGATCTTAGCCAGTCTGACTGGGGTAAGATGAAATCTTAAAGTGGTTTTAATTTGCATTTTCCCAGTTTACTAGTGACGTTGACCACCTTTTAAGATGCTTCTTAGCCATCTTTATTTCTTCTTTTGAGAACTCTCTGTTCAGTTCCTTAGCCCATCTTTTAATTGGGTTACTTCCTTTCTTGATTCTTTGTTTTTTGAGTTTGTTATATATTCTGGATGTTAAACTTCTGTCAGATGTGTCGCTGGTGAAGATTTTCTCCCATTCTGTAGAGTTTCTCTTCACTTCCTTGGTTGCTTCTTTTGATGTACAGAAGCTTTTTAGTTTAATGAGGTTCCATTTGTTGATTCTTGACCTTGTTTCCTGAGCAATTGGCATTCGGTTTAGAAAATCCTTTCCTACACTTATATCTTTTAGGTTTTTCCCAATGTTTTCTTCTAACAGTTTCAGAGTTTCAGGTTTCACATTGAGGTCTCTTGATCCATTTGGAGTTGACTTTTATGCAGGATGAAAGATAAGGGTTTAGTTTCATTCTTCTGCAGGTGGAGATCCAGTTTTGCCAGCACCATTTGGCCCTTTGTCAAATATCAGGTGGCTGAAATTGCATGTACTCATATTTAGATCTTCAATTTTGTTCCATTGATCTAAGGATCTATTTTGGTGCCAGTACCATGTTGTTTTTATGAGTATAGCTCTGGAATACAGTTTAAAGTCTGTAGTAATTCTCCCAACATTGCTCTTAGTACTCAGGCTTGCTTTGACTATCCGAGGTCTTTTGTGTTTCCATATGAATCTTAGGATGGTTTTTTCCAACTCTGTGAAGAATGTCATGGGCATTGCATTGAATGGGATCTATTTTGGTGCCAGTACCATGTTGTTTTTATGAGTATAGCTCTGGAATACAGTTTAAAGTCTGTAGTAATTCTCCCAACATTGCTCTTAGTACTCAGGCTTGCTTTGACTATCCGAGGTCTTTTGTGTTTCCATATGAATCTTAGGATGGTTTTTTCCAACTCTGTGAAGAATGTCATGGGCATTGCATTGAATGGCTTTTGGTAGAATGGTCATTTTCACAGTATTAATTCTTCCAATCCATGAGCATGTAAGGTCCTTCCATCTTCTGGTGTCTTCCTCAATCTCTTTCTTTAAAAATATAAATTTTTCATTGTAGAGATCTTTAATGTCTTTGGTCAGGTTTATTCTGAGATGTTATTTTATTTTATTGAAGGTATTGTGAATGGGAGGGTTTCCATGTGCTCTTTCTCCAATTGCTTGTCATTGGCATATTGATTTTTGTAGATTAATTTTATAACCTGTCACTTTACTGAAAGTGTTAATAATTTCTAGAACTTTT